CTGGGCACTCATGCCTGCAGGAAGGGAGGAAGCGGTCAGGGAATGGAGGGGAAAGCCTGTGGAGAAACATGGCCCCGGGGCGCTGTGCTGGTGCTGAGCTGGAGCTTCTGTGGAGCAGCAGCTGGATCTGAGCTCCCACGTCCTCCCAACACCCTGGAGCAGCAGGTCCCAGAAGTGGGACAGCACATCCCCACCCCAAATCCACAGGGCCCCCGGAGTGCCTGGAGATGACACCCAGGATGTGTCTCACACGAGCACCTCGCTCAGCAGAGAAAACCCAGCCAAGCTGCTCCAGCACCATCCATCCAGCTCCTCCAGCTGCAGCCAGAGAATGCTCACGTGGGAATGTGACAGGAGCCTGCAGGAGGCACAGCCAGCCCTGGCACACGGCCCTGGGGCCTCTCTGGCCACAGCCAGGGTAAATCTGCCAGACGGCTCCGACTCTGGAGCAGCCAGAGCAGTGCGGGGCTGTCCTGTGGCTCCCAACCACAGCATCAATAACCCCCAACACTGAAGGCTCCCTGCACCCCACAGCTCCAAAGCCCCCACCAAAGTTCTCCAAGCAGTCAGGGAAAACAGCTTTCCCAGCATGGATCTGATGACATTTCAACCCATCTCATCACGAGCCCAAAACGAACCTGTCCAGCACCGCGGCTCCCCTGGAACAGCTCCTGGGGCCCGGCGGCTCCGTTTGGCACCGGAGACGCAGCACAGAGGGAGGGGGGGACAGGAAGAGGAGCCTGAATCACCGGGAAGTCACAGTTCCCTGGCAGACTCGTGCTGCTGACAACAGTGCTCAGGTAGGGCTGTCCTGCAGCACCGGCTCAGGGAATAGGAATGTGGTGACTGGAGGCCCCACATGCAGAGTCCCAGGTGCTCAGGGTAGACCCAGAGGCAGGGGACAAATGTCCCTCTCTGGGCCACAGACATCCTTCCCTCAGGAAAACCTATTCCACAGTCACTAACAGGGACTATAATGCCAACAGGAGGCAAGGACAGGGCAGTTTCACACCTGAAACTTCCCATTTCTGACCCCGAGGGCAGTGACAGAGGGCACAGGAACAGCCCCTGTCCCCGTGAAAGTTCCTTTGTGACCCAGGTTTGCACCAGGTATTAACAACCAGATCCCTCATCGGACTCATATCCTGCTGGATAAACTACAATTTACTGATCCCATGGGACACAGGTCCATCCTCACCTGTCAGACATTCCCGAGATGTGAGAATGGGAAGCACGGAGCAGCGGCACAGCTGTGATACCAGTGGCTCCCCTGCCCTTGGGAAACCACCAGCTCCGTGGTTCAGGGAAATAAATAAATCCATAAACTGCCTTTTAATTAAAGTCAGCCCTTCTACCCAGTGAGAATTCCTCGGCTACAGCCTTGTCGGGAAGGCCTTCCTCCCTCTGTCTCCTGCATTTTCCGAGTCACCTGAGGCTCCCAGTTTCCTGGTGGAAGTGCCCTCCACTGTCAAGCCCCAGCTCGAGGCCTCACACCCAAGAGCCAATGACCCCCAATCCCTCCGGACGCTCCAGAATCAGGAATGACGCCCGGCAAACACATCCAGCCTGTGCCTTTCCCACTGGAGCAGGATCACAGACGGCTCCGAATGTGCTTGTCTGGGACGAGTTGGAACAGGAATGCTTTTCCCTGTGCTCCTTCCCAGCCCGCAGTGGGGCCGGGACGGCACGAGCTGCTCCGGGGCAGAGCCCCAGCAGTGCCGGATCAGCTGCCGGAGGGAATTAGCA